GTGGCTGTGCCCCCCCCTTGGGTGTCCTGCTGTCTGTCCCAGCCATGTTGTAAATAGATCCGAATCATATATATAAAATATATCTAATTTTTTACATGGTTATCTCTCTCTTAGAGTGCTATGCTTGCTCGTTTTGCTTTTTTTGTCTGAAAAAAGAAAGAGGAAATCCAGTGAAGAATGCAGAGGGGCATTCCAGCCGGGGGGCTGCCCCTGTGCTGCGGGACGGCAGAGGGAGGGGACAGCTCTCCAAGCACGTCTTTCCCCGGCTTTCCGGAAATGCCAGGCGTGCTTGCGCAGGAAGGGGAAACGGTTGTGACGCCACCGGATGAGCAAAGGGCAGGAGCAATTCCTTACAAGGGTAACGGCCGTGCAGTGGGGCTGTTTCCATTCTGCCCCCGGAGCCGCGCAGGAAGCGGACGGGTGATGACGCCATCTGTCCCGCTGCCCATCTCTCACAGGAAGCAGTGCCATGGGAGCTGCCCTGACTCTCGGAGGCATTTCCGTTCCCATCCTCTGCGCCTCGTAAACCGTTACAAGGATGAGGCTGGTGGCGGTGGGAGGCTCGATGCCCCCTGGGCTGTTGGGACGAGCCAGCGTGCGGAAACGTTTGGCACCAACCCTCGGGGTGCGTGAGGGACTCGCGTGGCTCGAGTGAGGCCACCGAAGTGCAGAGATGGGGCACAGAGGGAGGACGTGGGCTCACGGAGCCCACGCAGGGCCTCGGTGAGGTGGGGAAGGCAGGTGTGCCCGTGTGCTGTGCCCCAGGGATGGGCACCGGCTGGGAGAGGGCACATGGAGAGACCCTGACAGCCCTCGGGGAAGTTCTCCAAGTCCCTGCCCTTCCTTCCTCCTCCTCCTTTAGGTTCGTCTCAGCCGCTGCTGTGCCACACCTCCTCCACCCCGGATCCGTGCGCAGTGGGACCCTTCTCCGAGAGCCGTGGGGTGCACCTGGGGTTCATCCCCAGCTGCGTGGCATAGGGAGAGTTTTTATCCTCCGGCCGTCAAAACAAACCCTGTCCCCACCTCATGCTGTGGGGCCAGGGCTCCTGCTGCCCTCCCCGGGGGTCAGGGCTGCCCCACAGCGACACGCTCCCGCGCCGCCCCGCCGTGGCTCCCTGTGTCTGTGCTGGCAGGCCGTCCGGCGCGGCTCGG